GACCCCAGCACTTTGGGAGGCTGAGGTGGGTGGATCACCTGAGGTCAGGAGTTCAAGACCAGCCTGACCAAGGGTGGAGCCCCTTCTCTACTAAAAATACAAAAATTAGCCAGGCATAGTGGCATGCGCCTGTAGTCCCAGCTACTCAGGAGGCTGAGACAGGAGAATTGCTTGTACCTGTGAGGCAGAGGTTGCAGTGAGTTGAGATCACGCTACTGCACTCCAGCCTGGGCGACAGAGCAAGACTCTGTCTTCAAAAAAAAAAAAAAATAGTTTAGTATAGTGTGTTTAAGAAATACATGTTCAAAGGCTTGAAAGTCCAGAAGGAATTATGGGCTGACTGCCATTTATTTAAAAATATTTATGGTCATATATTAGAAAAAATAAGAACCACTTAAAAGCCTGTTTCCACATATAAAATAAATGTTTATAAAAATGTCCAGCTCTTTATTTTTCTAGACTATTAATGTGTTATTTTTAATTTAGTGCTTTGGAAAAAAGTTAAGATAGATCCTTACCTCATTCTTTACACCAAAATAAATTCCAGCTGTTAATAAGTTTTTAAAATTTATTTACATGGGTCTGGTAACCAATGAAAAGTTGCTAGTTCTAATACTATTTATTGAATAATTTGTTCTTTTCCCTGTGGTTCAGAAATGCAGCCTGCCATTGGGTTTCTTTTTGGATTTGATCTCTATTCAATGCTGACTCTATTCTGCCTTAATTGGTATAGTTTTATAATTTGACGGGACTAGTCACTTCTTATTCACCTCTCTCCTTTAATTCTTTTCAAAAATTTCTAGGAATTTCTTACATTTTTGTCCCAAGGTAAATTTTGGATTTGTTTTGTAATCTTTTTTAAAAGTATGGTTTTTACTTGGTGTTGCATTATATTTATAGATTAATTTAGGGAAAATGCTTTTATTGCAATATTGAATTTTCCTGTCCCTTAGTATTTTGCAGCTTTTCACTTAAGTTTTTCACATTCCTTATGTTTGTTCTTTTTTTGTTTTTTTTTTTTCGTTTTTTTCTTTTTGAGATAGAGCCTTGCTCTGTTGCCCAGGCTGGAGTGCAGAGGTGCTATCTCGACTCACTGCAGCCTCTGCCCTCTGCCTCATGGGTTTAAGTGATTCTCCTGCCTTAGGTGCCCACCACAATGCCCAGCTAATTTTTGTATTTTTAGTAGAGACGGTGTTTCACTGTGTTGGCCTGGCTGGTCTTGAACTCCTGACCTTGTGATCCACCCGCCTCAGCCTCCCAAAGTGCTGAGATTACAGGCATGTGCCACTGTCCCTGCCTCTTATGTTTGTTTTTAGATACTTTATACCTTCCTTATTGTTGATGGGCCTTTACTGAAGTATGTATTATATGTATTGTATTTTGTTGGAGAACCAACCATGTGGTTGCATTTCTTATATGCATAACACAGTGAACCTCACTCCACATTCAGGGTGGAATGTGACTCAGGTCAGTCATAACAAACAAAAACTGTCCAGTGCCTTTAGTTTAACATGATGGGTACTTTTAAGTTCTTTTTTTTTTTTAATTGTTTTTTAATTTTTTTAATTATTTTTTTGGTCTGGCTCTGTTGCTCAGGCTGGAGTGCCATGGTACAATCTTGGCTCGCTGCAATCTTTGCCTCCCAGGTTCAACCCATCCTTACACCTCATCCTCCAAAGTAGCTGAGACTTTAGGCATATGCCAGCACACCTGGCTAATTTTTATATTTTTTGAGACTGGGGTCTCACTTTGTTGCCCAGACTGGTCTTGAATTCCTGAACTCAAGCAATCCTTCTGCCTCAGCCTCTCAAAGTGTTGGGATTACAAGCGTGAGCCACCGTGCCTGGCCGGGGTACTTTAAATTCTAAAATAACACCTCAGGTTTTGTTTTTCTTTTTTCTTTTTCAAATTTATTTTTATTTTTTATTTTTCTGTTTTGAGTTATATAGGTTTTGTTTTTCATATTACTACCTTTTGTACTTGCAGAGTGCTCTTAAAATTTGAACTCTAGTTTTTGTTTGTTGTTTTTTCCTAACATTTTACCCTTTGTTTCTTGGGTCAGTTTGAAATTTTAGTAATTTTGGAGTAAAACAGATTGTGTATACCAAGTGTATTTTTCCTTTTTTAGTTGATTCATTTAGTGAAAGCAAGTGGGTGAACAATGGTGGATTTAACTGTCATTTTATAAAATCTGTTTCTGAGTAGTTCTTGGCCCACAGATATTGGAAAGGAAAGATGAAGAACCAAGTTGTTTTTGCAGAGAAAAGATAACAGATATTTCTTGCTTTGGAAGCAGTATAGCATAATAGTTAACAGCCCAGTTTCTGTAGTCACAGGACCTATAATCAGAATCTTAGTTCTACTGTATGCTAGTTAAGTGCCCTTAGGGAGGTTACTTAACCTCTGTAAGCTTCTAATATCTCCATTGGATTGAGACAAAGTCCCCCTCTGTTGCCCAGACTTGAGTGCAGGGGCATAATGTTGGCTCACTGCAGTCTCTGCCTCCCAGGTTCAAGTGATTCTCCTGCCTCAGCCTCCTGAGTAGCTGAGATTACAGGAACGCCACCATGCCCAGCTAATTTTTGTATTTTTAGCACAGGCAGGGTTTCACCATGTTGGCCAGGCTGGTCTTGAATTCTTGACTTCTTTAGCTGTTGTTTTACTCTGGTCCCAGTGAGATAATGGTGTGTATAAGTGAGATATTGTCATCTAGGGTTCTCCTTGAAGATCCTTCCCTGAAGGGCATTTCTGCTGCATAAGAAATCCATGCTTATCATCTGAAAATGAAAATAAAGATACAGATAAGAGGAAAATGTGTAACAATTTAGAATCTCCATAATACTACCACCAGAAATAACATTGTTAACAAGAGCACCATGTTACTTATTTGAAATTCAGATCCGTATCCCATTGTGGGAGAAACTGCTTTCTTTCTTTTTTCTTTTGAGATAGAGTCTCGCTTTGTCACCCAGGCTAGAGTGCATGGTGTGATCTTGGCTCCCTGCAACCTCTGCTTCCCAGGTTCAAGTAGTTCTCTGCCTCAGCCTCCTGAGTAGCTGGGATTATAGGCGCCTGGTACCACGCCTGGCTAATTTTTGTATTTTACTAAATACAAAAGATGGGGTTTCACCATCTTGGCCAAGTGCTGGTGGTCTTGAACTCCTAACCTCATGATCCACCCGCCTCAGCCTCCCAAAGTGTTGAGATTACAGGCCTGAGCCACTGCACCCAGTGGAGAATTGCTTTCTTATTTGAGGAGCCTCAATCAAGGTTATGGGGCCTAAAGTTTAATTTTTGTTGTTGTAGTTAGGGGTATTATTTTTCTATGAAATTTGTTTCTCAAGTGCAGTTTCTCAAATGTTGAGATTCCTTATTTTCCGTTGGGCCCGTTCCCCAACGTAGACACAGGTTATGATTAGGAAACTGCAAGATGTGAAATAGCAAACACTAGCGGCAAGTGTATGGTCTGTTCCTAGTTTGGAAGCCCCAAATCTTTATCCACTACCCTGATTAAGTTGAAACATGGGACTATCTTCCTGTCTACTGTATTTGCCTGACGAATGGATGTGCGAAAGCACCTCTTTTCTGTTTACTGTGCCCTGACCTTTGCTCTTACGTTAAGCTTTTAAAATTGAGAGCTACTCGAGAAGATTAACAGGAGGAAAAATAAATTTTCACTTCTTTGTCTGTCTCTTCCCCCATAAGAGATGAAACACTTCATTCCCAAGACACTCTTGTGATCTTTTCTGTCCTGTTTATGTCACTGCATAGGAGAGGCCATTCTTGAAGTTACAAAGGGAGCTGGTATGTGGCTAACAATCCTCATTTTTTCCTGTTTTAACTCAGTAGACTTAACTGTCAGACTGATAGTTAGCTAGGTTATTGCTCTGCCCATTCAGCATTGGTGAACAACTTAAGTCATGTGTGTACTTTTGTGAGCTTCTAAGCCTTGCCTCAGCTTTTTTTTTTTTTCTTTCTTTTTTTTTTTTTTTTTTTTGTATTTACTTAGAAATAATGTCCTGGGTTTATTTCCTGGGGCTATTTTAGGTTCGGTGGATCATTCAGTGATTTATAAGTACATATACGTGTTACTTAAATTAACCTGAAGACTGTCCTATGACGTGGCCAAAAAGTCACCTTTAAATTTATTTCTTATCTTGGGAGGCTGGGGCGGGAGGATCACTTGAGGCCAGAAGTTCAAGACCAGCCTGAACAATATAGCAAGACCCCATATAAAAATAAAAAATAAAAAATTAGCTGGGTTTGGTTTCATGGCTCTATAGTCCCAGCTGAGCATCCAAGCAGGAAGATGGCTTGAGCCCAGGAGTTGGAGCCTGTAGTGAGCTATGATTGTGTTACTATGCCCCAGCCTGGATGACCCGATCTCCAAAAACATTCTATTTACCATCTTAAAATGTGCCTTACTAGCTGTTACCCAGTTGAGCTCACCCTACAGGGTTATTCGGTGTCATGAGTATAATAACTCGTATCAAGTTGTATGATACTGTTCCTTGCTGATACTAAATTACACACCTTTACCAAGTAATAGAGTCACAATGATCTCATCAATTCTTACTGTGATTTTAAAACAATTATTTTAGTTACCAAAAGGATAGACAAATTTGTCTGTGTGATTAAGCCCTTTAGATTTCGTGCTTTAAGAAACAGGATTCTTCTCCAAGGTTAAGCTATGGGAAGCTGTTAGTACCTATTCATTCCTTCTCTAACAATGCATCAGTAACTTAAAAATCTAATGTGAAATGATGCCTCACAGTATTTCTCTCTAGATTACAATGGTTAGAGTCCAATATATTTTTTTAACAAAAGACATAACTTTAAAAATATTTCCTCCCAGTGTCATTAAGATTACATAGTAATATAGGTTAACTACTGTATGTGTTAAGTGCTGTGTGTAGGTTAAGTGTTTGGTGTTTGGTGAATGACTCTACTGAAAATGGCTTGTTTTTCCGTCTTAATTTGTCTTTCTTCCTTTATTTAAGGATTCCTAGATGAAGTTATGAAGAAGTATGGCAGTTTGGTTCCACTCAGTGAGAAAGAAGTCCTTGGAAGATTAAAAGATGTCTTTAATGAAGATTTTTCTAATAGGTATATAAATGATACTAAAGTTAAGCCCTTGAAAATAAAATTGTTAGCATATATGACTTTTCTCTTGATTTAAGGGAAAAAAAGAAGATACTTAGCAGTAAATTGAGAAGTACTAATTTTTTTTACCTTTTCTTTCAAAATCTTTCTGTTTCAGAAAACCGTTTATCAATAGAGAAATAACAAACTATCGGGCCAGACATCAAAAATGTAACTTCCGTATCTTCTATAATAAACACATGCTGGATATGGACGACCTGGCGACTTTGGATGGTCAGAACTGGCTGAATGACCAGGTTAGTATATTGTAGTTTGTCATTGTGGAGAAGTTGCAGAGGATGTTGGTCAATTAAATATAATCTCTGGTTTGGCCTCTCTATTGTCAAGGGTTCTTTATTCTTTATTCGTTACTTACTAACCCCAGGATCCAAATGGTTTGATTACTGCTGACAGTAATAATATATCATTCTTTCTGATTGGAGTGTTCTGAATTGTATAGGGTTAATAGCCTGGTTTTATTTATTTATTTTGTTTTGTTTTTCTTTCTCCAATTTATTGGTACTGAGATTGTAAGCTGGTTTTATGTTGACTTCTTATAGGTCATTAATATGTACGGTGAGCTGATAATGGATGCAGTCCCAGACAAAGTAAGTGAAAACTTCCCCTTCTCCAGGAGAGAGTGTCCTTGTGTATTAAAAGGAGTAGTTATGTTTTATTTTTAAACTTGTTGTAAATATTTGACATTCCTTACATTTTTAAAAAGGAGAATTCAGTTTTGTCTTGGTCACGTACTGGGGTTGACCTTAAGTTCCATCAGATCACTTCTGCATAAGAAAATTACTGTGCAATTGTTATCCTATTTATTTGTGTTAATTTGTGTTAGGATAGGTATGTTTGTTAATATCTGGAGAGGGCTTTTTGTTGTTGTTTTTGGTGGGGAGATGTGCAAAATGGGACTAGTTAAGCTTCTTACATTTATTTATTTATTTAACTTTTTTGTGTGTGTGATGGAATCTTGCTCTGTCACCCATACTGGAGTGCAGTGGCATGATATCGGCTCACTGCAACCTCCTCCTCCTTGGTTCAAGCGATTCTACTGCCTCAGCCTCCCGAGTAGCTGGGATTACAGGTGCTCACCACCATGCCTGGCTAATTTTTGTATTTTTAGTAGAGACGGGGTTTCACCGTGTTGGCCAGGCTGGTCTCAAACTCCTGACCTCAGGTGATCTGCCTGCCTCAAGCTCCCAAAGTGCTGGGATTACAGATGTGAGCCACCACACCTGGCCAGCTTTTACTATTTAACCTAAAATCTTGCTCTCTTTAAAAAGTATTCATCTTTCACTTTTTCTTGGATAAATCTTTGATACTCAGTTCAAATATAGATTAAACTCTTATAAACTCTAAATTATCTTAAGAGTTTTATTACATACCAAAATTATTTTTTTACTTAATTTATTTTTCTGAGTACACAAACACCTGAGTACAAAAACTTCCAAGTATTATATAAAACTTTTATAAATCTAATAAAGTAACAACTACTAAAAAAATCAGATTCTGATGTCGTTTATGAATATAGAAAATGTTTTATGACTTTCCACTTAAATTACAGATCTGTTATACATTTATAAATTGGGATCAAGAGACTAATCTGCTAGATTCTCTATTGTCAAATTTTCTCAGTCATCAGAAAGTTTAAACACATAGATTATCTTTAACATAAAAATATTAATTTCAGTGGTTTCATTTACCATCATTGTGCATTTAATTCTAACATTCATGGAGTCTAAAGGACACTTAACTAAGGCAGCAGTTTTCAAAGCGTGGTCCCCATACTAGCAGTATCAGTATGCCCTGAGAACTTACGAGATATGCTCGTTCTCAGACTCCAACCTAAACCTGCTGGAGGGTGGGGCCCACCAGTCTGTGTTTTGGCAAGCCCTCCAGGTGATGACGCTGATGGACACCAATTTTGAGAATCACTGCTCTAGAGACAGCTACTGTAAGTTCTTATTTATTTATTTATTATTTGAGACAGAGTCTCGCTCTGTCGCCCAGGCTGGAGTGCAATGGCATGATCTTGGCCAGGCGTCCCCAAACTTTTTACACAGGGGGCCAGTTCACTGTCCCTCGGACTGTTGGAGGGCTGCCACATACTGTGCTCCTCTCACTGACCACCAATGAAAGAGGTGCCCCTTCCTGAAGTGTGGTGGGGGGCTGGATAAATGGCCTCAGGGGGCCGCTTGCGGCCCGCGGGCCGTAGTTTGGGGATGCCTGATCTTGGCTCACTGCAGCCTCTGCCTCCTAGGTTCAAGCAGTTCTTCTACCTCAGCCTCCCAAGTAGCTACGATTACAGGTACCCGCCATCATGCCTGGCAGATATTTTTGTATTTTTATAAAGACGGGGTTTCACCATGTTAGTGAGGCTGCTCTTGAACTCCTGACCTCAGATGATCTGCCTGCCTTGGCCTCCCAAAGTGCTGGGATTATAGGCATGAGCCACCGTGCCAGCCTAATTAAAATTAAAAAAAAAAAACAACAAAAACACCAACTTTGTTTGTTTGTTTATTTATTTATTTTGAGATGGAGTTTCGCTCTTGTTGCCCAGGCTGGAGTGCAATGCTGTGATCTCGGCTCACTGCAACCTCCACCTCCCAGGTTAAAGTGATTCTCCTGCCTCAGCCTTCTGAGTAGCTGGGATTACAGGTCTGTACCACCATGCCCAGCTAATTTTTTTTGTATTTTTAGTAGAGACAGGGTTTCTCCATGTTGGTCAGGCTGGTCTCTAACTTCTGACCTCAGGTGATCCACCCGCCTTGGCCTCCCAAAGTGCTGGGATTACAGGCATGAGCCACTGCGCCTGGCAAAAAACTTTTTTTAGAGACAGGGTCTTGCTCTGTCACCCAGGTTGGAGTGTAGTAGTGCAGTCGTAGCTCACTGCCCCCTTAAACTCCTGGGCTCAAGCAATCCTCTCACCTTAGTCTCCCAAGTAGCTGGGACTACAGGCATGTGCCACTATACCCTGCTAATTTATTTTTATTTTTGGTAGAGCTGGGAGTCTCCTTATGTTCCCCAGGCTAGCTTGAACTCTGGGCCTAAAGTAATCCTCTCACCTCTGCCTCTCAATATGCTGGAATTAGGGATGTGAACCACTATGTCTGACAGCTCTTTTTATCTGTATGTTAAACTGCATGGCTATCAAAAGAATATGCATCAGGCTGGGCGCAGTGGCTCAAGCCTGTAATCCCAGCACTTTGGGAGGCCGAGGCGGGTGGATCACTAGGTCAAGAGATCGAGACCATCCTGGTTAACATGGTGAAACCCCGTCTCTACTAAAAATACAAAAAATTAGCTGGGCATGGTGGCACATGCCTGTAATCCCAGCTACTCAGGAGGCTGAGGGAGGAAAATTGCCTGAACCCAGGTGGCGGAGGTTGCGGTGAGCCGAGATCACGCCATTGCACTCCAGCCTGGGTAACAAGAGCGAAACTCCGCCTCAAGAAAAGAAAAAAAAAAAAAAGAATATGCATCAGAATCATCTGAAAGGTTTATAAAACCAGATTACTGGACCCTGCCTTTGGAGTTTCTGCTTTACTAGGTCTGGGATGAGGCCTGATAATTCAAATTTCTAACGAGTTCCTGGGTGATACTGACACTACTGGTCTCTTGACTACACTCTGAGAACCACAGAGCTCAGGGAACAGGCTTATCATTTCAGGTTACTGAATGAGCAGTTTAAGACCGCAATATGTTTACCGTCTCAGATGACCTGATATGCCACTTAATTATAAGCCAGAAATTCAAAGCCAAGGATGCAAGACCTGATACTCTGTACAGCCAAGGTAATTCTGTGGTACTAGAAATAATCATGCTAAGCCCTTTTTATAGTTAACTATAACAACAGGAGTCTCTAAATCCACGTCCTTCACATGGAGTTAGTTTTGTAATCCATCTCCTGTGAGTTCAAGGTAATCGTTACCTCATTTTTTTCATATCCTTTTTCAACTCCTACCACCTAGTTTGGAGAGATTTGTCAGGTTGCTTCTCTACTTGATTGGCTTCAGGTAATCTGTCTACTGCCTCATTCCAAATCTGACTATAGACCACAGCTGTAAGGTCATTCCAATAAAAATTTGGAACAGCATTTTCTGTAAACCATATAATGTATTTTCTATATTTTGATCATTATTATTATTTTGAGGCAGTTTCGCTCTTGCCCAGGCTGGAGTGCAGTGGCATGATCTCAGCTCACTGCAACCTCTTCCTCCTGCATTCAATAGATTCTTCTACCTCAGCCCCATAAGTAGCTAGGATTACAGGTGCCCGCCATCATGCCCAGCTAATTTTTGTATTTTTAGTAGACAGCGTCTCACCATGTTGGCCGTCTGGTCTCGAACTCCTGACCTCAAATAATCCACCTGCCACCTTGATCATTGTCTTTAAGAAGAAATTTTTTCTTTCATCTGCTTCACATTCAAACATTTAAAAATCACTTTCTTTTGAAGTTAAATCTGGGCACAGCCTAGTATAATCTGGTTGCTTGTATTTGTTGTCTGTTCTAGGTTCACTTCTTCAACAGCTTTTTTCATAGACAGCTGGTAACCAAAGGATATAATGGAGTAAAAAGATGGACTAAAAAGGTATCCTCTTTATTTCTTTATTCTAAATTTGGAATGCAGATGATAAGCCACTTTGTGTGGAAGGATAAGAACTTTAATGCCAATTTGATGTTAAGTGGAAACAGACTCTTTAATGTGAGAAGTTTTAAAATTGTTTATTTTAAATCTTACTGTTTGAAAGACCTTAATTGCCTCCTTGTCCCAATTATAGTGGTAGAACAGTGGGATGATAAAGAAGAGCTGCCATCATTTGGTTATCTGGTGGGCTGGTCAGCAGCTGGCAGAGGCTTTCAGAAATTTTTTGCCAGTGCTGGGCACGGTGCCTCACACCTGTAGTCCCAGCTATTTGTGATGCTGAGACCAGAGGATCACTGGAGCCCAAGCGTTTGAGGCCAGCTTGGGCAGCATAGCCAGATCCTGTCTCTTAAAATGTTAACTGATCCGTCACGAGAAACATCTTTTATATCACAATCTATACGTAAAATCATATATATACAAGTTATTGAAAGAATTTCCAAACACCATGTACCTAATTTACTATGTATGATGTATTCTAATCAGAGAGTGGTAAGTGCTATTTGCTATAGAAACATTAGAACACTGTAATCCCAGCACTTTGGGAGGCCGAGGCGGGTGGATCACGAGGTCGCGAGATCGAGACCATCCTGGTCAACATGGTGAAACCCCGTCTCTACTAAAAATACAAAAAACTAGCTGGGCGTGGTGGCGCGTGCCTGTAATCCCAGATACTTAGGAGGCTGAGGCAGGAGAATTGCCTGAGCCCAGGAGGCGGAGGTTGCGGTGAGCCGAGATCGCGCCATTGCACTCCAGCCTGGGTAACAAGAGCGAAACTCCATCTCAAAAAAAAAAAAAGAAAGAAACATTAGAACATAGTATGAGAATACAAGGTAAGAGGATAGGGTAGCAGGAGGGAGGCGAAAGATGGGCTATTTCTTTTAGATAGGCTCATAAGGAAAGGCCTGTTTGAAGAGGTCACATTTCACTGAAAACTCAGTGGTGAGAAGGACCAGCCATGTGAAGATCAGAGGAGCATTCTGGGTAGATGGAACAATGAATGTTAAAGGCCCTGAAGCAGAAGTGAGCTTGGTATGTTGGAATGTTAGACACATGAGATCAGGGATGTAGGCAGGGATCGAGTCATGTGGGGCCATGTAGGCCCTGGTAAAGAGTTTGGATGATGAGGGCAATTTGAAGACATTAGGGAGTTTAGGCTGGGCGTGGTGATTCATGCCTGTAATCCTAGCACTTTGGGAGGCTGAGGTGGGCAGATCACTGGAGATCAGCCCGGCCAATGTGGCAAAACCCTGTCTCTACTCAAAATACAAAAATTAACCAGGCATGTTGGTGCGTGCCTGTAATCCCAGCTACTTGGGAGGCTGAGGTGGGAGAATTGCTTGAACATGGGAGATGGAGGTTGCAGTGAGCCAAGATCGCACTACTCTACTCCAGCCTGGGTTACAGAGCAGACTCCATCTCAAAAGAAAAATAAATAAAAATGAATACATTAGGGAGTTTAAACAGCAGGTGAAGGGTGTGTGTGAGTGTGTGTGTGTGAATGATAGATAGGTTTGTCCTTAGCAGCATTCCTTTATTCATTCATTAAACAGTTAAGTACCTGCTCTGTGCCTCATATAGAAAAGCTGTTTTTTCTTCTGCTGTCATACCACAATAGTCAGCACAGAAGACCAAAGCAAGCAAACAGTTCTGCAGCAAACACTGGCTAGTTGCCCTCTAATTCAGTTCCAATGCTATCTACCTGGAGACAGTGCCACATCCCATAGGCTGAGGGCTTATGCCTCAAGAGTGCCCCCCCATCCACTTCAGACACCATTTGCAAGTCCAGGCTTCTGAAACTTCTGACCAACAGACTCAAGTGAGGGTTCCAGTGCTCTCCTCCTTGAGTTTGATTAATTGGTTAGAGCAGTTCACAGAACTCAGGGAAGTTCTTACCTACATTTAGCCATTTATTATAAAGGATATTACAAAGGATATGGATGAAGAGATGCATGGGAAGAGATAGAGGGGAGCGGCCACAGGGAATCTCCATGACCTCCCCAGGCACACTACCCTCCAGGAACCTCCACATATTTAGTATCTGGAAGCTCTCCCAATGCAGTCCTTTTCATTTTTTATGGAGGCTTCATTGCATAGGCAATTGACTAAGCCACTGGCCATTGGTTAACCTTTAGTTCCTCTTCCCTTCCCAGTGGTTGGGGGGTTGGGTGGGGCTGAAAGTCACAATATTCTAATTTTGCCTTGCTCTTTCTGGTAACCAGCCCCTATCCTAAAGCTACCTAGGAGTTGCCAGCCATCAGCTAATCAGTAACATACAAAAAGACATCACTGACATCTCTTTGGGTTGGGTGTGGTGGATCACACCTGTAATCCCAACACTCTGGGAGGCCCAGGCGGGCAGATCACTTGAGGTCAGGAGTTTGAAACCAGCCTGGCCAACATGGTGAAATTTCGTCTCTACTAAAAATACAAAAATTAGCTGGGCATGGTGGCACACGCCTATACTCCCAGCTACTCAGGAGACTGAGGCAGGAGAATCACTTGAACCCAGGAAGTGGAGGTTGCAGTGAGCTGAGATTACGCCACTGCACTCCAGCCTGGGTGACAGAGCAAGACTCTGTCCAAAAAAAAAAAAAAAAAAGACGTCATTTTGGAAATTTAAAGGACTTTAGGAGTTGTATGCCAGGAAACGAGATCAAAGACCAAATTTATTACTTTATAGTATCATAATGCCAGACATATGGTAAATCAATAAAGTGGTAAGTAAAACAGTATTAGAGACATTTCGTGTCATTATTTGTTTAGTGGGTACAAAGACAAGTATTGGATACTATGGGAGTGTATTGGAGTGGGGGTTTGGTTAATCTAGCCTGAGAGTAAGGGAATGTTTCTCATAGGAAGTAATATTTAGTAATATTTAAGCAGAAATGTCAAAGTCGAATATGAGTCGACTAGAAAAGGAGTATGTGAAACATTATAGACAGAAGGAATAAGTATCTGATAGAAGAATGGGAAAAGGCTGTGTAGCTGAAATACAGAGAGCAAAGAAGAAAGTGGCATGAAGTGCATCTGATCCGGAGATAAAAGGGCCTTGAGGTTTGTGTTTTGGATTTTATCCTAAATGTAATAGGAAACTATTATAGGGTTTTAGGTGACATTATCTACTTTGTAGTCTTTGTTCTAACAGTACTGAAGAAGATGGATGGGTGTGGGAGCAAAGTTGATGTGGGTAGAACAGGAGACTATTTCAGATTCATGGTACTTTGAACTAGAATGATAGCAGGAGAGACGGAAGATGAGTGTGATGTAGGAAGTAAAATTAACAGGACTTGGTGGTAAGTTGGTTATGGAGATGAAGGACAAGGAAGTGTGAAAGATAACTTCCACGTGTGTGACTTGTGTGACTGGATGGCCTATGGTTATATTTACATTAGAAAAATGTAGGACAAGGCCGGGCGCAGTGGCTCAAGCCTGTAATCCCAGCACTTTGGCAGGCCGAGGTGGGTGGATCACAAGGTCAAGAGATCGAGACCATCCTGGTCAACATGGTGAAACCCCGTCTCTACTAAAAATACAAAAAATTAGCTGGGCATGGTGGCGCGTGCCTGCAATCCCAGCTACTCAGGAGGCTGAGGCAGGAGAATTGCCTGAACCCAGGAGACGGAGGTTGCAGTGAGCCAAGATCGCGCCATTGCACTCCAGCCTGGGTAACAATAGCGAAACTCCGTCTCAAAAAAAAAAGAAAAATGTAGGACAAGTAGTAGGGGATTCAAATTAAAAATGTACATCCATGTAATTGGATGCTACTTAAGCAGGAAAAGCTATGCAGATAATGAACAATGATTATATTCCGTTTGGGGTGGGGAAAATTGCAAGCAGTGTGGGCAGAAAATATACCTTTATGGAAAAATATCTGAATGATGAACATGAGAGTAAAAGAATAAAGTCAAATATGTGAGTTATTTCATTAAATAGTAATGAACTAAATTATTTCCTCCTCTGGATCAGGGATGTTCAATCTTTCGGCTTCCCTGAGCCACACTGGCAGAAGAGTTGTCTTGGGCCACACATAAAATACACCAATGCTAACAATAGCTGATGAGCTAAAAAAAAAAAAAAAATTACAAAAAAATCTCATAATGTTTTAAGAAAGTTTATGAATTTGTATTCGGCTGCATTCAAAGCCATCCTGGGCTATATGCTGCCTGTGGGCTGCAGATTTTGAGCTAGATCCTTTCAGATTGGGTTAAGTAAAAAGAGTCCAGCTATATACTGGATATAAGAAGTAGGCATAACATAATATGAAAAAGAAAGGTTGGAAATGATGTGACATTTAAAGAGGTACTAGGCTGGGTGCTGTGTCTCACATCTGTAATCCCAACACTTTGGGAGGCCTAAAATTACCATAAGTGAGAGGATTGCTTGAGCCCAAGAGTTTGAAACCAGCCTAGGCAACCTAATGAGACCCTGTTTCTATAAAACATTTTTAAAAATTAGCTGGCCATGGTGGCAGCCTGTGGTCCCAGTTATCCAGAAGGCTAAAGTTTGCCTGTGGTACCAGCTATCCAGAAGGCTGAAGTGGGAGGATTGCTTGAGCCTGGGAGGTAGAGGCTGCTGTGAGCCCTGATCACACCACTGTACTCCTACCTGGGTGACAGATTAAGACCTTGTTTCAATTTAAAAAAAAAAAGAAAGGCAACAACAGCTAGTGCTCGACTTACGACCACGGTCAGGACTGCAGATCGGTCATAACACAATTTGGTTGTAAGTTGAGTAGGCTATTTGTACAGTTGAAATGGTGCATGCGGAGATGGTAGTGCTGCTGGAAGCTGGTCCGCACTGTCATACGCCCAGCTAGGCAACATTTGCACTGCCAGACGCGGAGCAGTCGTGGCTAGTGATTGTGGTCGTAAAGTTGAATGGTCGTAAGTTGCATAGGTCGTGAGTTGATCAATACCTGTACATAAAAATTGAACAGCTTCTTC